GATGTGAAACCCGTAACGTGAAATGGGTAAAGAGCACATGCTTTGTTTCTGCAGGCCTGCAAAAAATGTGATGAAAGAAACAGGACAGTACGATAACTGCTATTCCACCTGATTCATTGCTTTTTTGATGATGAATAACTTCTTGCTTGTTACACTGTGTCACCTCATTCAATTTGTGTCCTAACATTTGTCGTCTCTTAGTTTATTTCTAATCTAGGCATCTTGTTTTTTAGGGCCCTTCTTGTTTTTTTTTTGCCCTCTCGCATTAGATTTAGGGTCTCCAAAGGACGTCATCCATAAAATTTACTTGGTGTGGCCTTAGGCCATGTTGATTTGATTATATGGATGACATCCCCTGGGAACCTCAAAACTGATGCGCGCGCGCAAATAAAAAAAAAGTTTTGCAGAAAAAAAGTTGCTTTCATTATGAAATCTACGTGGTCATGAAGGTTGACCAAATGACACAAAGTATGGTTTGGCGAATCTACTCTTCAAATTCATTTCTTTACATTTTTGTCTTTTTTTGTTCGATTTTGGCATTCTACGACATTGTTTTCCAATATTTTTTTTCGCAACTTATGGTATATATTTGCTCATTTTGCAACTGCTTTGTACTATTTACAGCATGGTTGAAATCTTTTTTTTGGAAACGGCCTAAAATTCATGCGCGTGCGGATGTCATCCATATAATCAAATCAACATGGCCTTATAGCGAAGTAATGAGTGGTTCTTATGTGCTCCACAGATATTGACGAGTGCGCGTCCAGCCCGTGTATGCACGGTACCTGTGCTGACGGAGTGGGGCAGTTCACCTGTCACTGTGACGCGGGGTGGTCCGGAGTCACGTGTAACGCAGGTCTGGTCACTTCTTCTAGCCTCCTTCGCAGACTTGTGGGGCTGCGGCGTTAATTTTTTTTTCGGGGAGCGACGTGAGTTTGCCAGGGAGCTGAGATTTTTTTTTGGGGGGGGGAGGGGGACTCTTTCCCCGGCAAACTCCCTTGGCGGTAAAACCATCCCCGGCCCAAGTGGCGTCGCTCCCCGAAAAAAAATCAACACCACCGCCCCGCAAGTCTGCGAATGAGGTTATTTTACTTATTTGATGTTGATTTGTCTTCTTTTAAGTACTACGAAGTAATGGATAAGATACGTATCATACGACCATTGCATTTGCTATCATCTGTGCAATCAGAAATTCCGGTATAGTTCAATATTTACTACACTACTAAACTTTGATATACTAAATTTTGAAGCGTAACTGTTTTATAATGCATGTCCAAGACGTCACTTCACTTGTGCTTTCCTTGTGCTTCACTAGGATATTGGACACTGCGCAATTCAGCTTTTATATACCATACACCACTTGGTAATAAACCATTCATCCATTTATAAGAAATAGGTCCCCATTGCTTTTTACAGTTTAAGAGACATTCTTAATTGTGAAAGAATATCATATCCTTTGTTAACTATGTTACCTATCCTATGTTACCCAAACCTGTATTTTCTAAGAACATTTTAAGGATTTTTACAAACTTTTCACAGATTTTAATGAGTGTGAATCCAGCCCGTGTCCCCACGGCAACTGTACTGATCTGTTCAACGGCTACACATGCACATGCGAAGCGGGATGGGATGGAACTGAATGTGATATCGGTATTTATGATCATTTTGGCTACGCCTGAGGGGCGGAGCCCTTTAGTCTATGTTATTGTAGACCCATTGTACGCTATTCTGCTTCAACTACCCCTCAACTGTTGAAAAGAATGTTTGTTTGTTAGTTTGTTTGTTAGATTAAGCACTAATTTGATGCCATGTGAAAATCTTCATAGTTACATTTCTGCTTGATAGAATCATTTCTTCTCTAATAGCATAAGATCAACTAACACAACCCGACATTTGCCATTCCTTGTTTTCTCTACAACAGATGTCGACGAGTGTGCCTCCAACCCCTGCCAACATGGCACCTGCAATGACCAGGTGAATGGATACAACTGCACCTGCGAGCCAGGATGGACCAGCTACACCTGCAATCAAGGTATACGTACTTCAGAGGTTAATGATAGTACATGCATTGATGTGAGACCTAACTTTGATATTATCAAGGAACATCTACATTGTACTAATAAGGCCATAACATCATTAGTATATTTTATCATTTACATAGATATTAACGAGTGCGAACCCAACCCATGCCAGTATGGAAAATGCCTGGATGAAGTAAACGGCTTCACTTGTTACTGTGACGTGGGATGGACAGGCGATACCTGCAACGAAGGTACGTTAGCATTCTTACAGACTCTCAGCTTCTGCTCAATTAAAAAATGGATTAATTCCTTCTACTTGCAGGTGAACAATAACCTCCAAACAGATCTTTTGGTGACTGCAACACATTATCTAATTGACCAGGCAGTATCAAATTGACCAGGCAGTATCAAATTGGTAAAGCAATATCAAATTGGTCAAGCAGTATCAAATTGGCCAAGCTGTATCAAATTGGCGAGACACCATCAAATTGGCAAGACACCATCAAATTGGCGAGACAGTATCCATTTACATGTAAAAAGATACCAGTACCAAACAGAAAGCCGGATGGAGATGCCTAAAACTCGAAAGAAAAATAAGCCAAAGCCCAAACCTCTGCTTAAGAGTATATGAACAAAAACATTCGAGAATAAAACCATAGTTTGTAACTCAATTCTACCCTACAGTACAACGCACTTTGTAACTCTCTTGAACATTCTCACATTTACACAGATGTTGACGAGTGTAAGTTGGACCCGTGTATAAACGGCAACTGTACAAACCATGACGGCAGCTATTTCTGTGTGTGCGAGGAGGGATGGACCAACAACCGTACCTGCAACCAAAGTAAGGAACACAACTTGTATTCTCTGTATGAAGTAAAGATTAAACTATACTGTCAACACTAGAATGAATTGGGACTTACCCCAAATTTTCGGCTGACTCCGTCAACTTTGTTCACTGAATGGACCCGTCTACTCTTGGAACATGATATCAGAGACACGGTACCATAGTAGTATGCCAGATAACTTGTGTCGCCCCCGTCTCTGTTCAGGGTAGGTCTGTGAGCTCTAATATAGACCGACTCCTTCACTGCTCTTGCAAAGAAAATCCGATTCAGAATCGAGGATTTTGACCCCTTCTAAAGATCGTATTCTCTGTGCCCATTTCTGAGATTGTCATGTCAATTGTACGTTCCTTATTCTAATGTGTATTGTCGCACAGGTATTGATGACTGTGGCTCCAACCTGTGTAACCATGGAACATGCAAAGATCTCCACAATAACTACACGTGTGTCTGCGACCCTGGATGGACAGACTTGGTTATATACTACGAAGGTACAAGGTTATCTCAATCTTCGGTTACGTGTAAATGTTAAACTAGATGTAAATCAAAGGTACACAGTACACAGTGGCTAAGATATCTTTAAAAAATTAACAGCCTTATCCCTACTTCAATACTGTTCTACAGACGTAAATTGTGAATGCAACACAACTGTGCCTGTCAACTCTTCTGTTGGTGAGTACAACACAACTGCCCCTGTCAACTCTTCTGACAGCGGGAACAACTACACCTGCACCTGTGATGGGCGCTGGAACAGGACATACTGCAGTTTAGGTACATGTACATTGCTAGTTTTGCTTCACTTCGCATGCATAACCTTTAAATACTTAATTTTTTTCCAACATGGCAAATGCCTTTGACCCTGTGATTCTAACAATTAAGTTTATCAGTGAATGTGTTTTTTCTACTTGAGCATAATCTTCTCTCTCCAGAAATTGACGAGTGCAGTTCCAGTCCTTGTCAGCATGGTGAATGTAAAGACGATTTGGCCAGATATGTATGCAGTTGTGACTCCGGTTGGGAAGGAGAAAACTGTGAAAAAGGTCAGAGTGCACTACAATGTATGTGCCAAGGATTGAGTTTAAAAAGACAATAAATTTATTTTAAGAAATAGTTTCATCGCTTCTTTATTGAAAAAAAATACCGATAGGAAATGCAAAATACAAGCATTAAAAGCAAATATTCGATGGACATGCAGCCACTCTCTCATTGGTCGAACAGCTAGCTGCCACGCCATCATTGGTCTAACTGTGATAGACAGGATCAGTCTACTTCATTTATCCAAGCACTTTACAATTGTTCCTCTCACACAACCCAGAAATATTTGACGACTGCGCCTCCTCCCCCTGTGGCTCATACGGAACCTGTACCGATGGTGTCAGTACTTACATCTGTACATGTGACAAGGGATGGACTGGCATCAACTGTGAAAAAGGTACAGCAATGACACTTAGGCATTGTCCAGGATAGCCAACATTTGAAGATAGACTTTTCATCACAATTGCATTTTAATTTACTGTACATACCTGTATTGTGTATTTTGCCTTATGTTTATATGGGCCCTGTGCCTGAAATAAAGAATGAATTGAATTGAATATTTGGCTATCTTTGGCTACTAATGCAGTTATTTCTCGATTAGCTAACTCATTAATTAATCAAAGAGTTCGCATACGAACTCTCCACCCCCCTAACTGATATACTAAACACTTCATTGAGAGAGGGCAGGGTCCCTGAAGTGTGGCGTGATGCCACAGTAATCCCAGTGCCTAAGGAATACCCAGCGGACTTGAACAAGATCCGGCCAATCTCACTGACCGCACAGTTTGCCAAGATCTGTGAGGGTTTTATCAGCACATGGATTTTTTTCGGACATCTTCCCTAACGTAGACATAAAGCAGTTTGGTAACATGAAGCGTTGCTCAACGACTCATTGTCTTATAGACCTCCTAAATTTCTTCTATGAGGGAGCTGAGAGGAAAAGCACTGTTGGCACATTAATACTAACTGACTTTTCGAAAGCATTCGATAGAGTCTGTCACACCACTGCCATTAACAAACTTATATCCATGGGCACAAGACCCTCACTGATCCCCTGGCTCTGTAGTTTTGTGTCAAACAGAAGGCAGCGTGTTAGGTATCAGGACTCTATATCGAGCTGGGAAACACTAACGTGTGGAGTGGCCCAAGGTACTCTACTGGGCCCACTGGTGTTCCTCGCCATGATCAATGACGCAAAACCTAATACTAATAATCCACACTGGAAGTATGTCGATGACATGAACCTGGGAGAAGTTAGAACTGTGTCAACCCCAACTAAACTTCAGACTGACCTTGACTCATTGGACACCTGGGCCGAAACGAACTCCATGTTACTTAACCCCAAAAAATGTAAAGCAATGTATTTCTGCTTCATGAGAACCCCCCCAGTAATGCAGCCACTGACTCTCGGAGGTCAGCCACTTAGCATAGTTACACAAGCAAGGTTACTTGGTTTGCACATACGCTCTGACCTACGGTGGTCTGATCAAGTTGACGCCATGGTGTCCAAGGGCAGTAGAAGGTTATACTTATTAAGTAGGCTGCGTCGAGCTGGCCTCCCAAGCTCTGACCTTGTCACAGTGTATTGTGGGTATATTCGACCAATAGTTGAATATGCCACGCCCTGTTGGAATGCGGGTATCACAAAAAACAATCTGACAGCATAGAAAAAATCCAGAAAAGGGCATGCAGAATCATGCTGGGTAGAAGCTATCACTCGTATTCCGAGGCCCTGTCAACTCTTGACCTCCAACGTCTGTCTGAACGGAGACTGACCCTGTGCCGGGCCTTTGCCCTTTCAGCCACTAGGTCTAGGCACGCCCCCTGGCTACCCCCAGTTAGTAACCACTCACACAACATGCAGCTAAGGCAAACACGGCGCTACAAACCACCCATTGGGACAAAAAGATATTTATGCAGTCCTGTCCCCACAATGCTGAACATACTGAATAACTTTGCCATACAGTAGATTTCATTTTATGTTGTTGCACATGATGTAATTGTACTTTTTTATTATTGTCAGTTGTACCTAAGTAATTTGCCAACAGAAGTTGTATGATGTAATTTTAGCATAAATGTGTATTATTCTAGCGTATAAGTGGTGTTTAATGCCTCTCAAGGCACTTTTTATGTATATATATTATGTATTAGTCATGTAATTTTTTAAAAATTTGTAAAAGCTTCTCAATTCAGCCTTTGGCTGCAAAAAGCTTCTAACCTACTGTACTATGTATGTATGAAGTATGTGTTTCTGCAAATAAACCAGTCTATATATCATGGTGAAGCATTAGTCTTCACGAGGTCAAATGATAATGTAGGATTTTCTAGTGAATAATCTATCTTCCGTGCCATATATCATGCATGTATGTTACCTGTATTACATGCAGGTCCACCCACATATTCCTTTCAACTGACCATGGATAACCGAGTGTTCACCAATGAGCTGAGTGATCGGAATTCTGACACCTTCACTTCTCTAGCATCTGAAGTTTCAGAAACAGTAAGTTTTATGTGTTTCAGACTCTAAAGAGGTTTTATTCATTTATGCGAGTTGAGAATAGACCTACTTCAAACTGTGATTGTAAGCTCGACAATTGATGTATTACCGAACCAAAGAAATAACTAACTCCAGACATATTGAAATTCTATGAAGAAAACTTCCTGACTTGATAATTTCTTATTTTGCCTTTACAGATATGGTCTTGCCTAAACCAAACTTCTGTTGGGCAAGATATCATCAATGTGGTGATAACCAGGTTCCGTGCGGGCAGTGTTATTGCAGAGTATGATGTTCACTTCCGCCAGAACACAACTGTGACAGGTGTGGGAGTACAGGAGGCACTTGTCTCTGTCTTAAGGAACAACACGGTACTGAGCAGTGCTTTGGGGATCCAGGTGGATTCAATGTGAGTTCATCTTCAAATTTTCTGATAGCACCCATGATCAAGGCTTCATTTACATTACCGGTTATCTTCTAGTTCCTCCTTCCCCATTCCCTGCCTAAGCCTAGTTAAAACAATCTTAAGACTGAAGTTGTACAGTCGAAAATTTGGGCAAGTCCTATTCCTTCCTTCATAGTGACTTCTACCGACACAGATGAACTTTCAAGATAATCTTAAATGGTCTAAGATGGCTGCGATCGAATAGGCCAATGTGTTCACAGCATCATTTCAACGTGTGAGTAATTATGTAATTATAGGACCCATTTTTTATAGTTTGAATGCGTTATAGCACACTTTGGAGGCTTAAGGATATCTTTGTGATGAGGCTTATGTGTTTACAACATCACTTCAACATGTAGGTAGTTATGTAATGACAGGACCCCATGTTTTATAGTTTGGATGTGTATCAGCACACTTTGAAGGCATAAGGATATGCTTGTGATGAGGACATTGTTACAGATGCATGCTGGGTAACGGCAGCAGCACCTGTGTAGAGAAGACTCCCCCTGAGCAGTGGCAGTCCTGGGTTACCTACACCATCGTGGGCGTAGCTGCTGCTATCCTCCTACTCGTCTGTTGTCTTTTCGTTGTGGTTAAAAGTCAAAGGAAGTAAGTCATGCCAATTGCATCAACGCATTGTTAGATCATCTACCATTATCATATAGTCAGAAGACGTCGGCCAATCAGAAGTCTCCACTTCATCTTGGCTATGACGCCATAGCCTTACCAGTGGTGAATAATGATCTCACAAGTGATGAGGTTTAAATCCATAAACACCTCGCTTTGCTCACTCAGAGGTTCAATCGGTGGTTATAGGAAATGACCAGGATATACACCTAGGGGCGGGTCGTTAACCCTTAATTATCTACTATACCTTAAGGCAAAAATAGACATTGGTATCAGTAGTTGAATTTTTTGCATAACATCAGAACTGATACAAAATTGAGAAAGGTAAATTCAAAAGCATGTTTTGTTGAATGACACACTATTATTTGTTTGTGTTCCGCAGCAAGCAATGGTCCTGGCGACTAAAGAAGGAGTATGACCAGTTTGACCCTTACAGCAGACGCAGCAGCATGTGAGTCATATATCAATCATTTTTGTTCAGAACTGCATGTATGAGCACACAGACATAAGAACCAAATATTTGTTAAGTTCCTTTGTTTCTAGCAGGCCTTTTATATCGCAACCAATTTGTTGAGAATTTGATTATTGTTCTTCTCCAACTCATTGTATTAAGAAGATCAGAACAAATAGATCGGAAACTACAAGCTAAATATTTCAGATACTATTTAAGAAGATTGTATACGATGCATGTGTCAATACACTTTCCAACAAGGATACGTATACCTTGGCATTTCCAGGGAAAGCCGTCAACGCAAGGTTACGAACCCCATTTACGAAGGGTAAGTGTGGAAAAATCAATATCTCATGTGGATCATCTTCAACTATTCTAAATATGTAAGCACCATAAGATAGCTGTGGAACTGTTAATACGACTCCTATTTTATACTACATAATCCTTTGTGAAAATGTACAAGGAGTTCTGCTGTAGTATCATGACAAGCCCCTAGATAGGGAGCCCAAAATCTAATGATGTAGAGGTGACATCAACACATATAAAGCTCTGGTGCTGTCCTTGGTACTGATGGGATATCTAACGTTAAGTATTGGAATTGTGACTGCTGTCTTTAAAGCAATATACCACAGTTATACAACATACGCAGTGATCTTTACTACTTTCTATTTAGCCATTTACATCCATGACACACATACATAAATACAAACAAACATACACATGTATACTTTACATACAAATGCTACCAAAAGCCTAGCCGTCTAGGTGAAAGCAATAATATAGACAACATGTAAATTTCCAGGCAGGGCACTTCCACAGCCTATGAACTCCAAGATGCCGGGCTGACGGATTTTGAAGAGAGCGGTTTGACCGAGCTTCAAGTCGGCGGAGTTACAGACAACGAAGACGCCGCATCGACAGACTTCTACTCCGATGGAGCATCCACAGAACTGCACGATGGCGAATCTACAGGATTCCAAGATGGCGTATTGACAGAATTTCAGGACCTGGACCTGACAGAAGAGGAAATGTCCCAGGATGGAATGTGTTGATAAATTGCCCCCCCCCCCAAAAAAAATATCGGCTAAGAATTGACAATACCGTCACCGAACATTTTTGCCAGACTGAGCAAGAAAAAACATTATTAACAGATGCACTTGACAGATATTAGACAACCCTATATTATAGCTAAAGGAATATCCTTTGAGGCATACTGACTAACAGGTGTTATAGACGGGTTGGCGGAAAAACCTGTCCAGTCCTGGAGGCGGGAAAACCTATCCAGTCCGAAAAAAGGGTCTGCATGGGGGTTCCTGGTAACACTTAATGCTAAACTCAGCAGGATTGGCAATTTCTTGCCAGTCATAGTACAAAACTATCACTCTTCTGATGTTAGGGAACATTGAATCTTGCAAATCATTCTTCCAGTAGTTCTTTATTTCAAGCTATAGATGTTCATGTAGCAGTAGCATTAGTTCAAACATGATTGAAGTAAGGGAACACCATTCCAGGTATCATGCACTGGTAAGAAAAATTACCTTTTTTTAGTTTCCACTGTTGTCATCACATGTTCACTAGCGGATATACATGCATCAGTAAAAAAATGCCTACGCCCCTAAGGCATCGCCAAAAAGTTCACGGGCTAGCACATGTGCAAAAGCATACAATACAATGGCAAATAATCATCAAAGGTTTTAGAGCAAAGATTCACCAGTAACTGTACTTTTACAGTCTTGCATTGTAAATACTGCCTCAAATCCGTTCACAATTAACTACATGTCCTCATCAAAATTTATATTGAAAAGCTCCAATACCATTACATGAGAATATCTACACCCAAAGTTATACCAAACATTATTAGTCAGCAATATTTGCAATAGTTGCAAATTTTGATCCAAACCCCACCCAATCCTGAAATTGTACATCATTTTTTATCTAACATGTTTGTCTACATCTTGCATAAATTGCAGCACAAAGGACCCATTAAAGACTGTAGCAGCCACCAAATGTATGTTTTCTTTCTTAGCTATAGCTAAATCTTTTGTTAATGTACAAGAATTTTTACACTAAGCATACCAGAATCTATACAGTTTACCTGACAAAGCCAACCTTGTACCACTATATCCATATTTGCTTTGTACCATTGATTAAGGGGTCATTATTACCATGCATATACAAATACTGAATATCCTACACCTTTTCTTACTTTGAAATCCCAGGCTATGGTTATTTTCTGGTATCCTAAAACATCTAGTCAAGACTGAAAAAGTAGCCTGCACTTTCCAAGTTTGAAATGTGGTGCAAAAGATACAGTAAAACCTGGACATGTACAAAACACTGTACACTTTTTTTTTGCTGGTTACTTCTTTAAACATGCTACATTTGAATTATGGCACCAGATTACCTATAGAAGTTCCTGCACAGAACTGGAAATGTTTGAAAAGTACTGGCAAAGTGTAGACTGCAGAGGTACTGACTGTACTGTGTTTTGTACTTATAAGTGTGAGCTACTTTGAATTCTCTGTCTGTACATGTAGATGTGCATGTATACCGCATGTATGTGGTATCATATTCTTATTCCTTACATGTAGACACATAACACATAGTCATACCAATCTCCAGGTTTGCATATTTTGTACATGTACTTCTTCACAGAGTATAAAACTTTTTCATGTATTTTTCTGATCATATTCTTCAACAGCCTGCTTAACCTACCATTGACTTATCATTAGATTTTTCTCACTTCTAAATGTTGCAAACAAAAAAAACAAGAACAATGAAATGTACACCAGAATGACCACCCACAACACTATTTCCATACATTTCTCGAGTAAAAATAATATGCCTAAATCAAAATCAAAGCAACAAATAATGTCTAGCTCTCCCCTACGTATTGAGATCATATTAAGGACCTACAACAGAATAGACTAAGTGTGTTACTGTCAAACCCTAATTGTTTGACTTCTCTTCCATGGTCTTGATAGCATCCTTCAGCTCTTGAATGCAGCGATCACCCAGATCTTTAAGACACTCCTTCAGTGCAGGTGACAGCTTCTCTTCTATAGTTGGGTCTTTCCTGTAGCAGAATTTGTAGTGGATACATGCAAAGAATTACTTTCTTTCAGAGATATCATGCACGTTCAACTACCATGTTTTCAATAGTAATGTAATAAATGCCACACATCTTACACATACATCATACATGTATCCTAGGACATCTTACAGTTATCTAATGGACTTCAAACAATGTCAAGTTCAACATTGTACCTGGCACTTAATCCTCGAGTCCAAACAAACTTGTCAAAATTCAACTTCCATAGAGAAAAGATTGAGAGCATTATGCACCCATGTACAGAATAGCAGTGTTGTCATTTTTGATACAGGTCAGGAGCTAAAATAGAGATTTACCAAATCCCGGTATAGTGGAATATTTCGCTAACAATCACCCCTTGCACACCCCTCTTCTTGCAAATTTGTGTATGAAGCACTCACGTTATAAGCATCTTGCAGACAGTTCCAATTGTCTCACAGTCCTGTCTGTAGGCCTGTTGAAGGAAGAGATAGTACAGTCAAACCAGTTATACGTCATATTAAAATAAAACAGTCAAGTCCAACTTTACACTATCAAGAATAAGACCCTTCTGTTAACCAACCAAATGTCTCTGATTAAACATTAGACATTTTATGCCCTAGTACTAAAAAAATTGATGACAATTGCTCCATACACAAGCAAAAATCAGTGATGCATATCAATATTGTGCAAAGTACAAGTGAACCAGTGATGGGTAGCAACCGTCGGGTGGGCTTAGCCTTCAAGAGAACAATTAAGTCAGGCTTAAAGGGAGAGAAATCGTACGTGATTGAGGAAACAAACCTCTTCGATCTCCCTTCTCTTCTTCCTGATCTGCTTCAGCAGTAGGTCTTCCTTGCTCAGTGTCTTGGACCCAGCCTTGCCCCCAGAAGCACTTCTGGACCTCGTGCTTGAACTGTCGTCGCCCTTCCCCTCCGATGCCGTCTTTTTGGACGTCGGTGGAGGGGACGCCTTCCCACTGTTGTTCTTTGACCCAGTTTTGGGTGCAGATGAGTTTTTGCCAGCCTTCTTTGCGGGTTGTTTTGGTGACTTGGAGGGGTTTCTGCAGAGTCGGATCCAGACGGGTGGGAATTACTGGGCGTGGATGGCGTGGAGGTTGAAGCCGTCCGAGGCGGCGTTCTAGTGGTGAGGCCACGCTTGATGTCCTGGATGCTTGTCCCCCCGCGGTCTGGGGAAACACTCCTCTTCAGGGGGGACTGGGAGAATTGGGACGGGCCGGCGTTTGCGCTGGGAGATGCAAACATGCCCGAGGTGGACGCCATGTCGCCTGCTGCAGGAGGGTGGGATATCGTGCTTTCAGGAATGTAGTCCCCGTAGCTACCGCTGCGTAGCCTTTTGGGCGAGTGGTCCCTGGTTAGACTGGAGTTGCGCGACCGTTTCCCCATGGCCTGCATGTTGGGGCTGTACTGCTCCATGTAGTCCCCGGGGTGGGGGTGGGGGGAGGTGGGGGAGTGCTGCCGCATGGGGGACATGCTGTGGTGGCGCGACGGGTCCACGCCCATGTGCTGCGGAGGGGTGGCCGAGTGGTGGCGGGGAGGGGTGGCGCTGGAGCGGTAACGCTGCGGCGACACTGACCGGTGGCTGGTCGGCGTCATCGAGCGGTGCTTGACCGGGGTCAGCGAGCGGTGCTTCTGCGGGGACTGCTGGCGTCTTCGCTCGGGGCTGTGGCTGGAATGCGTGCGCCGTGAGCTGGGAGACCGGGAGTGGGAATGCGCTCTGTACATCTCCTCTTCTCCCGAAGAGAACTGTAGAAAAACAAGCAACACAAGAGCAATCATTTCACATATTTCCTAACAAAAGAAAAGTCCACAACTGCCAGTGTGATTTGTCTTTGTAATTTGATTCTGATTTGTTTCCTTGAAATGATCAGTCCCCAGTGCCATCTACATCCTGAAGACTCACCCTCTGGTCACTACTCCTACTGCGGCTCCTGCTGCGGCTCCGGCTGCGGCTATAGCTCCTCCTCGCCTGCAGAACACACACCAACAGTCTTCTCTACTGTCATGTTACCTTAGTTATGGAGTCAAGCATCCTTCAGCAAAACATGTACCCCACACATGCACAGACAACAGACACAGGGACAAAAAATGACAAATCACTGCCATAGTCAATGAGCACTCAAATATTTCACAGAAATCAGCATCACATGTACAACCAATGAAGATTAGTACAATTTCAAACCAAGAGAGCTTGCTCCATTTCCAATACAGTAGAATGTTCATGTAACATCAGGTCCTGAGTTGTAGTTTGTAAACCATTTTAAAATGGGACTAAGGCCACACCAATTTAATCTGTTGGTTCTCGGATTTTTTCAGAAAAAATATGAAGCGACAGGGCGAAAAAAATAAAAATAAAAACAGGTCTAGGCATCCTGTTATAGGCTTAAATGCTACAAAATGAGCCATGAAGTCAACACAAAAGGCTGGGTTAAAATTTAAACATTGAATTTTGAACTTTTAATCAAACCACTGCAATGACAGATGGGAAAACTGTAACAACTAGGAAGGACTTTCCTCAACTGTTGGGGGACAAAACATGAGCATTTTTCAGTTCATTCAGGACCAGAATCAAATTTTTTTTTTTTTTGCAAATCAGAAAAAATCGAAGAGGCGAATCCGAGAACCAACAAATTAAATTGGTGTGGCCTAAAGTAACCTAAGATGACTGACACTGTAGACAATGCAGAAGTGCAAAAAGTATGGCTTTGTAATTACACAATACCTGTATCGATGAAATTTGTAGAAAACATACCGGTATTTCTGAAGCTCAAAAAATCTTTTTTTTTCTTCTTAAGACTGATTTCAACATCAAGGTAATAATTTTCATCCTATATGTAATATTCATGCACATAGTATTTTCAAGGCCAGTCAACAAGGATCTACAAGTTAGAACCTATCCCAGCATAAAACTGCTAAATTGCAACTGTCCATAGAATAATCAGAATGATAGAAAGAATGAAGATACTTGTTCTGACCTGTCTATAACCT